TACAGATGACAATTATTTTCCACAGGATGGTAAAAGTAGAATGACCGCATTCAAAAGTGTATCTGAACTGGTTCAAAACAGGAACAAGATAATTGAATTTAATTTTAAAATTTGTAAAAATACTCCAGGCTACACCAGCAAATAGTGTTGAGAGGTTAACTGGCTACTCTTATCCGTTCAGATCAATGCAACTTCACACTAATGAAGAGAGAAGAAATTTCAAGGAACTATCCTAAGCATACTTAGATATTTAGGTAAGAATATAATTGAAGTCATGGGAGAGAGGGATTAAAATAATTGAACACTGCAGTACTCAGGTATAAACCATGTAGACCATTAAAGCAAAGTACTTCGTCTCATTGTAGTGCTACATACTAAAGAATATCCGAGCCAAGTAAGTTAACTGTACAAGATCATACCTTGAAATCTGCATTGATTCAAATGACATATTTAAAACAACAGTATACTATCACAAAGTTTTGTTGACCACATGATTGTGTTAATGCAGTGGCTGCAAAATGCAAAGGGTGATACAAGACAGACTGCAAAAGTCAGGATGCAAAAGAGAGACTGGTTGCGTATCATAGTGAAACGTGATCCACCGACGAAGTATTTAGATGTCATAGTGGATTTTTTCTGAAAGAGAATTAAGAAAGCAAAATAACTCTAGATTTTCTGCAAGTGATTGGGTTCAAACTACCAATTCTGAAGAGCCACACTGTTATATCAGCCATAAAATACTAGTGCTCAGCTTCTTTGTGAGGAGAAAAAAAAAAATTAAAAGTCCAGTGTAGTGAAATTTAATTTAAAAAGGAGAGATACTGAATAATGATCAAGCAAATTAAAAGAAAATTATAGGGAGTATCCAAAAGTGTTGTGGTATAAAAAATATTGAAATGCAACTTTGATGCATAATACCACTCAAAAAGCTGGTAAAGGGAATGCAGAAAGAGCAAAACCCTTTGAACAGTAAAAAGTATTACTTTGAGAAAGATATCATTAAAACCTGCTGGTCTTGTTTATACAAGAAAAATAAAATCTATAAGCTTGTATAAGCAAGCTTATTTATTTTGTAAGCTAACTTTAGTACAGGGAAACAGGGCAGAGCAGAAACACGGGTCAGGGGGGCAAAAGAGACTGAAAGGCACATTGAAAATGGTATAATAACTAATAAAAAAAGGGATCTAAACACACAACAAGCTTATCTGGATGTTGGAGAAACCACTAGCTGACCAAAATAGAAAGTGAACACTCACTGTAGACAAGGCGTCTGAGAAATAGTAACTGAACTATTTGTTTCAGTGGTCAAGGATGTTCCCACACAGAATCATTATTAATGAACTATGAATTTTGAGTCAAATTGAGTTGTCTTGAACTGAAATGTTCACAGAAGAAGTTTTAAAAATAGTCTGATAGCAATCAGAAAGGTAGACAGCATGTTATTGCCTAGGAAAGAAATAGGAACCAAAACAGAAAACACTACTAACCATCTGATAACTCCATTGTGTACCCACACCTATGTGAACAACCAATCTCAAGAAGGATATCAAAGGCTTAGAAAAACTAAAGAAAAAAATAATAAGAGATGTAGAACATCTTCCATAAAAGAATGCTGCTCAAAAGACAATTGAGATAATTGAAGTTTATAAAATGAAAGGTATGGGTATGGTGAACAGGGAAGTATTAGCTATTTCTAATAACACAAGAAGCTAAAGAATACCTGGTTTGAAATAAAAAAGTGCACTTTTTTAAACAGGGCATAGAAAAATTCTAAAGTATAAGTGATTGAACAAATTCAGGAATAGTAACTCTTTTTATTTACGTATAACCAAATCCCTAAACTTCTTAATGCCCGAGGCTGGGAGGGTATGGACAGTATCAAATGTTTTCAGTTTTGTCTAATTAATTGCTTTATTTAAAAAAAAAAAAAGTTTTATTCTGTAACTTTCTAAACAAAGCATTTAGATTCTTCTATATGGAATGTATTTTTTATCTTTTACTGTAATTAAATGAATCGGTGTTACAAATTTGGAAAGCTAAGGAGAGAAGATTATATTGTAGTTGCACTCAAACCTTGATCTGTAATCTTTTTTATTGCACACTAGCTG